GAGTTATATAAATTGTCCACGCATGTATACATGCAACAAGCTATACTTTCCGTTACAACATGCAGACATATTTGCTAGAGTATTACGTTTCTCTATTTTTTTAACTAACCGAGCAGTAGGGCTACCGATTATATATTGATAAAGAAGAAGTTTAGATAGGACAAAGAACTTCTCCACAATGAGTTTACAACAGATGTTTGCAAGAGTATACGTAAAGTTAAGGCCATTGAAAGTTTGAAACAATAATATTATATTATCCAACTAGAGCATACATGGACGCTTGCGCTTGCATGGATGCACGCGAGAACACATGACGACGTATTGTACTTACAAATTGTAAACCACTAATATAAGACACGCAACTAAAGCCAAATCCCGTACGTAATTCCTTTTCAGACAGACGAAGAATGAACTAACAATCCAAGACACACATCAGACATCATGAAATGCGTCGCCACAACCGAGAGGAAGCGGAGTAGCGGACTAGCAACTAACCAACGACGGGAGTGTAAAGGACGGGGCCGCTGGCGTTGCCGGCGTCGAAGTAGACGCGGACGCTGTAGGCGTTGTACCCTGGCGCCACGTTGGTGCCATCCTGGACCACTTCGATGGCCACGTCGGGCCTGTCGCTGTTGATCTGCATGATCGCCGCCGCCGCCGGCCACCCCACCACCTCCGGCCACGCGTCTTGTCGCTGCTCGTTCTCTTTCTCCCTTCCTCCCACTCGTCCGATCCGGCCGGCCTCTACTGATTCAGAGAACAAGTGTTGCGTGCATGCACTCTATTAGTACTCCTACTACTAATGAGCTAGGAATGAAGTTGGATACAGGGATGCATTATCTTGGTGGTATTTATATAGGGTCACCGTACTTGAACAACGTGCATGCATGGATTGGAAGCCTCGGTATTGGCAATTCTGATCGATCTGCTGGCGTTTACTTATTCGGATTCATTCGTTTGCAGACAAGTGATGACAATACAGGCGGATAAACTACTGTCCTTTCAACATCCAACGTTCGAAAACTAACATCACTAAGAGCTAGCAAGTACTGACTAAAACTCTAAAATCATGGCAATCCCTTTGCTCTTTGAATTATAAGTTATATCCCATGCACATATATAAACTATGGCACACTGCTGCTGCTTCTGCTGACACAACGGGCTTGTTTGGTAGTCTCCAGCCCCAGCAACTCAAAAAGCCTTAGAGCTGGAGCTATGAGCACATTGAAGGAATTTAGTTGAGTAATTTTAGGGACTGTTCCGATTCTCTGGTGTAAAATTTAGTTCACTAAGGTTGAGGACTAAAATTTTAGACCATTTTAGCCCACTTGTGTGGTTTCAAGTTTTTGTGAGATTGGCTAAACTTTAGAGAGCACTTTACACCTCTATTTTATCACATACAAGTTTCAAATCCTATGTATATTTAACGTATATCACTAGAAGAAGTGAATAACTAATTAAAGCCATGAATCAATTCTGGAGCATGCATGTATAAATAGTGGACATATATATTAGGCAAGATTTATGAATTAAACATCTTCATATTCTAAGGGCCTCTCTGAAAATTGTACAGGAATTAGCAAACCCAGCCAGCTCATCACTGGGAGCCTAGAAAAGGGACATATATGGACGGAAAGAAATTCTATGTGGTGGTGCTGTCACACGCCCTGATGATCTCCACGTAGCATCCTGACCTAAACCAGCGGCTAAACAACCAGTTGAGAGTGAAGTCCGGGCTCACTCTCCTCATAGGCACTATTTGGATGTAGTCAGATTCACATCAATTCACATGTGTTCGGGTGGATTGGAGTGGAACTTGAACTAAATTCTACCTCAATCCACCTCAACACATGTGGAATGAGGTGAATCTGGCATCCAAACAAGGACATAGATGGGATTTGAACCATGGGCAAGATCTGCATTCCAACATGGACACGTGAGACTCGTAATAAAAGCCTAGTGCAGTACCATCGCATATATTTTTTTTCATATGGACCTAGCGTCAACCGCTTAGAAAGGACCAAAAACTACACTTATAGTGCGTTTGGTTCGCTGTGCCTATTATCGGTCTCGGAATGATCTCATCGAACCTATGTTCCTCTTTGGTGTAAGTCATGGCATAATCTCATCCGTCATCAACCCATTCCATGTATAGCAATAATCGTAGACGAACAAGCTAGTAGAACCAATTGTGGTTGTGTAAAATTAAATTCACCTGATGAAGAACCAGCCATGCGGAACCAACAACCCGTGCCGCATGGGGCCAACACGGCTAAACCAAACACGCTGTTAGTTTAATTTGACGCTTCATGCTTGTTATCATCTAAAGTGTTGAATAGGTCATTAACATTCTTAACTAAAGGGTCAGCCTTCCCCGGCCTCCAGGAAATTATAATTAAGTAATAATAAACGAGAAGGTGTTTATCCCATGAGCTTTTGAATCTTGAATATTATATATTCTAGTCAAAGTTTTAACGACGATGCTTTTGAGGACACTGACAGAGACTGGCCACAGACGATGCTGGGTGTACTACATATATAGCAGCAGGCATGAACCCAAGGACGTACGTACGCCGCATGCAGCTGGCAAGGGGTGTACGGTGACACAACCAAAGCATATCATCTACTCCGGCGAAGGGCGGCATAGACGTGATGCATGCATCTATAAGTACCGGTACGCCGTGCAGGTTCTGAGATATATATAACTAACTAACAATGGCGGGTGCTGACCCGAAGAGGACGTCGTGGCCGGAGTTGCTGGGCATTCCGGCGACACCCGCGGTGATGAGGATCAGCCACGACAGGCCGGAGTTGGCGGTGGAGGTGCTCCCGCTGGGAATGAAGCTGAGCAAGGGCTTCAACCCCAAGCGCGTCCGCGTCTTCTTCGACCCGCGGGACTCCCAGGGCCTCGTCGCCAAGGTCCCCGTCGTCGGATAGCAGTAGCCACTAGCTTAGCCGGCCTAGCCTGCAGGATGGTGTTACGCTCATGCGATGAATAAAGAGCTGTCCTGCTCATGCGTGGATCTTTGATGCATGCGTGCTTGCTTGTTTCACACGAGTTGCTGTTTGTCATAAGCGTTTATCATCAGTCAAGTTTGTTTTTCATATTATTAGAGAAACCAGCGTGGATTATTATTAATTCAGAAATTAATTAAAAGGAAAGGGAATGAATGAACTGATCAGCTTTTAAGTCGTGGTGACAATTGGTGATTTCAGCAGAAGCCGGTAGCCAATCATCACCGATCGAGCAAACGAGGTGTTTGAACAACAAATTAGCTAGTTAATTAACAATTTGCACATCACCACAGAAAGTTAGCATTAGCCATTACTATTGTTTTACTCATGGAGGAGTCAAAGAGAATCTAAATGATTTAATTTGGAAATGCAAAATCCTTTAAAGGTGAAGTTTTTCCTATGGCCGATTTTCCATAACAAACTCCAAACTGCAGTGGCTTTAGTTAAAGAGGGTGGCATGGTAGTCCCCTGTGCTGTGTGTGTCAATGTCAAAAGCCTGAAACAGTCAATCACATTATCTTTGAATGTGTCTTTGCACATTATAACTGGTGTTGTGTTAGAGATGCCTTTGGTTTAAAGGGTTTTCCTGTATCAATTCAAGAGATGGTCTCTGAATGGTTGCCAAGGCGGCTGGGGATTCCTAAATGCTTATGCTTTTCATTTTTTACAGGTTTGGCTTGGTCTATGTGGAAGAATAGGAATAAAATTGCTATTGAGAAGAATTTCCCAACTAATCCAGACGCCATGATTCATGCAGCTCTCAATTTCATGCAGATGCGGATAGATTTACAAAAGGAGGCCGACAAGATCAAGTTGAAGGAGATAGTGCAGTGCTTAGCCGGCTGGATGGGGAAGAAGGAGCAGCACCAAGACTTCTGTTCTAATATTGCAGTGTTCTAGCCCCTGGGCGGTCTTCTGTTATGTTTCTGAAACTGGGTGTTGGTCAGGTCTTTGTTCTCCATGGGTTGGAGCGGATTCTTTTTGCTTGCGTTTGTTTTTGGAACTAGTAACCCCAGTATGTAAGAATTTTAATATTGGCTTTGTAAAAATCCGAGTAAATCTCCTTTTTTTTTTAAAAAAAAGTTAGCATTAGCAACTGCAAAACAGCGTAGCAGAGAGGATCACGAACTACCTAAGCCAAGCCCCTCTTTCTTTCTTGCATGATTGTGAAGGTAGGAATGATTCACGTAATGATCTGCGTTTAACCTTGTTAATTGTTTATATAGAGTCATGTTGGCTTGAATCTTGAACAAACATATGAAATAGAGATGGAGACTAATCCTGTCTTACCATAACAACCGGATCCTTTCAGATAGATCCATGCCATATATACTCTAACAGAGGAGCGCGTGACCATTCTCGAGAACATAGAAAGTGATGTAGGGGGCCAAGATTCTTCATGAAAACTTCCACTAACGAGTTGTGATGGAGAGAAGAGTATCAGAGGATCGGCTATGATCACAATGGCATTCACACACTACGTGAAAAACAGTTTGTAGTAACAGAGCTTTTTTTGGGGGCGACTGACATTGGAGTAGCCCCTACAGTGGCGTGCTCGGGCTCCAGCACAGCAGCCACCCTTACAAATGGCACAGTAGGGGCGGCTGATAATACGAGCCGCCCCTACAAATGTCATGCCCGAGGACTTCGCAACTCAGGTCCGCGTCTGCCTCCACCCCCTCGGTCTGTCCCTCGCCCCCTCTCCTCTTTTTCTCCAACGCCACCGCCCCATCCATCTCACGTCACCTCCCCTTCCTCTCTTCCTCCGACGACGCCACCGCCCCTTCCTCTTCCACCGTTGCAGCCACCATCCCCTCCTCTATAGGCGCGGCCACCACCCCTCCACCGGTGCGGCCACAACCCCCTCCTTTCCCCTATTAGATCTAGATCCACTCAGGTAGGAGCGGATAGATCCATGGCCGCTCGGGTCTCCTGTTGCTGCTGCGGTGGGGGGACTCTGCAAGTTTTTTTTACCTTACTGTTCCTGGTCGATTTTTGTACTAGCTCTGATATATGGTGCATCTGTTGATATTTTCCTGTATATAGGATACCCTGTCCGTTGATTCAGGAGAAGGGATCCTATCAGGCACTGCCAATTCAAAGCACATGTAATTTCTTCTGCATGTTACGCTATTCTATTTACATATAATGTAAAATTCATCTGCATTAGTGAAAGCAGTATACTGGTTTTAGATGAAACATGCCTAAGATAACTCCATAAGAAGTACTATTTAACATGTATTCCTCTTCCTGTTTGATTCTTTTACTATCCACTACTCTTGGATCCTCATTGCAATATGAAGTAGTCCATGTACTGTCTACCCCCTGTGTTGGCTGCTATTTCCGAAAGATAGCTTTTATTCATGAGGCTGCCATAATAATGTGCTCATTTTCGTGAGGAAAGACATGTTGGTTCTGTTGACATGAATCAGTTAGTACCAAGGAATGCGTTTTTAATCCACCATTTAAAATTCTTAGCACCCTGTAATCACTAATTGGGAATCTAGAAAAAAAGAAAGACAATTATTATGGTTATAATTGAAATTTATCACATTAATTTAATATTTGTTATCTCTTATAAAACCATGAGAAGAGATGCTTGTTGTATACACCATGGATTTTTAGTAC